AGTGCTCTCACATAGCGACCCCATGTTCCTGTCTACTGCTCTCACATAGTGAGCCCATGCTCCTATGGACTACTCTCACACAGTGACCCCATGTTAAGAACATAATGTCCCTACAGGGGTTTCTTGTAGTCTTTTTTTCCCCCCAAAGAGACCTTTCAGTTAGCAGCCATGAGCTGAACCACTGCCCCACCAGGGTTCCTCCAATCCAGAATAAACTATCCTAAATACAGAGAGGAGTGCTTTTCAAGATTTACATAGTATGAATAAAAATGCTTCTCATTGCCTCTCTCCTCTACCCAGAATGGCAGCAAGTAAAATTATCTAGATTTTACACACCAAGAACTGTTTGCTTATGATAGCATAGTAACCCATTCCTTCTGAAACTCTCGACTATATATGTGTGTGTGTGTGTGTACACACACTTTTTTTTTTCCTGGCAAAAAGACTCTTACAATGAAGATCGAAGAGATGCTGAATGGCTTTGATAACGAGCAGAAGTGGGTGCACTAAAAGTCTTCTAGAAATTGTTGTTAGGAGAGACCAGACCCTGGAGAAGGGCATCCTGCTTGGTGAAGCAGAGGGGCGGTGAAACATAGGGGACCCTCAAGGGGATCGATTGACATCATGGCTGCAACAACGAGTTCAAATGGAGGACGGACAGGGGGTGAGGAGGGTGCAGGAGTGGGCAGTGTGTCTTTCTGTTGCGTTTGGGTTGCTGTGGATCAGAAACAACTCAATGTACCTAACAACAGTGACATGGCCAGGTAAACCACACTGCAAGCAACCTCCTGCCATATCTAGCGCTTCAGTAGGTTTCTTTCATCACTCTTCTTTCATGATGTAACTGCAGGACTGAAGGCTCCATCCCCCTCCCCAGGGTTTGATTCCTGGCTAATGCGCTGCAAACCGAGCCATCACACATCTGCAGGGGAGACTCACATGTTGGGATGCTGTTAAAGGGCTTCCAATGGAGCTTCCAGACTGAGAGGGGCTATGAAGAAAGTGGGGAGCTCATCCTAAAAAAACAACCACTGAAAATGATAGCTCACAGCTGCGTGGTTATGGTAAATTGGGTCATGAAGAGTCTCGGCCCATTTGATGGCAGTTAGCCTGAACAGTGGAAGATACAGCTGAGGACGGGGCGAGAAGGCCGTGGCTGGCTCCCCACGTCCATTTCTGGAGAGCCGAAAACTCCCGAAGCTGAACCCGGTTTTCCAGATCATCAGGGAGGGTCAGGGAATGTGACAGATTTGACTTCGCGGTGTGTTAGCTTCACGCAAATAGCTCAGTGATTGACCCCTATGCTACATGGGCCTGCATTCATTCTTCTGACCTGAGTCCCACCAATGTTAGGGGTGGGTCAGTTTGTCACACAATTATTTGGAGTAATGAAGGAAGAACATGATGCAGGCAGGGTTTGAGAAATGTCCCATGATTGATAGGCACAAACCTTGGCTAAAGAAGCAGCTAAGATTAAATTGGCTTGTAGAAAAGAGAGAATGAGGCATGGTTGTCTGTAGAATCTGTTACACACGTAAGAATGGGAGAGAAGCCTTGGTGGTGCAGTGGGATAAGAGCTGGGCTGCTGGGTGGTGCAGTGGG